AAGGTAAGAGTCCAAACCCTGGGGTGGGCTTTGTTGATCCAAGAGTCCAGATGGATTTCAGGGATCCAACCTGCCTGGAACAGCACGACTAGCCAACACTAGGCAGAAGGGAGGAATTCTTCCTTATGGCTTAAAAATAAAGTAGTTCTAAGATAAGGGCACATTTTCCGTAGTTCATCACTGCTAATTTGCAGTAATCCCCTTTTAATCTGCTGCACACTGCCAATGGTAATTAATTTCTTCTGACGCTGATATGCAGAGTGGTGTCACTTTCCTGCCATGTTTGTAACAAAAGCTTAACTCAAAGCATAAGGGGCCAGCCTGTGTCCGGGCCTTTAGGGTGTATAGAACTCAAACTCATGCTGTGGTATTTCTCTTTGTTAATTGCTGGTGCGTGAGAAATGGTTGTTTTAAGCATGGCCCTTTTTCTTTTCCACGAGACTCCAGGAAGAAAGCGCAGCAGAAGTAATGTTCAAACTGAAAATTAAATAAACCTTTTTCCCACAGTAATAATAATCCTAGCATTTGATGTAGTGCGTTATCACATTGTCTTGATGTCTCAAACATTTCACAGAATATACTGTAAAGTGAATTGACTGTGTGTTTTGTGGGCAAAACGTGGCAGCCAATTGAGCACTGCAGTGTCTTACAAATAGTCGTAGATTGAGCGATCAATTTACTTATTTTGAAGGGAATATTACCCCCAGAAAGCAATAATGCATCATTTTATCACATCCAAGTGTCAAATTAATATTTAACAAACCAAACCACAAGTGTTAGAATTTTGACAGGCTAAAACCATATGAGGTATCTTAGCTCCCCTGCACCTCCCCCCCCATCCCCCATTCTAGAATCTCTGAAAATTATAACCCAGATTTTGAGAATTTTTCTTTCTCTTCTCTGCTCCCCGCCCGCCCCCAACCAAAAAANGATTTTCCAGATGCCACAGGAAACTCATTGTGGCTGACCCCTGTTATTTCAATCATATAAAAAGGATTATTCATTCTTCCTGTAGTGGAATTATAGGGGAACAGACAGCAAGATGCTGAACCACATGCAGTATAACACACATTGATAATAATGATAGCGGAATAATGATAATTTGCTGGGTGGGCAGGCAGCCACGCTTTAGTGGTTGCATTAGTCAGATAAGGACATAAATGATTTATTCCTTCTGTTTTGAAATTGTCAGATAAAGTGTGCTGGAAGAAGGTCTAGATACATACTTCTGACCACTTACTGAGTTTATGCTTACTGATATTAATGTTAAGATTCAGTCCCTTGCGGACCTCATTAAAACCTACAAAACTCAGTTCAGTTTGAACAAAGACAGACAGTGCAGTGCATTGGTACTGTGATGGCAGGAGGCATGAATGAGATGCCAATACTTGAGATGTTAAACTGAGGTCTCGTCTTCAGTCCCCTGAGGCCTGCTCTTCAGACGGCTGTTAAAGATCTCATGGCACTGCTTGAAAAGAAAAGGGAGTTTCTCCTGCTGTACTGACCAATAATCCTCCAGATCATCTCATGACTGTGAGTGGGACCTTGCTGCTGCAAATGGCATCCGAATATTTCCACAAAACCCATCATTCGTGGCAGCCATTTATGATACATTTAAGACATTATAAAAATATAAGTTCTTTTCTCCATTAAAGTGGTACGTTCTGCAATACTTTAACACACGCACATCAGACTAATCCTTTGTGTAAAAAAATGTTCTATCTTCTCTTTTCTGTTTCCAGTAATAATCTTGAGTTGGTGCCCCTCTCTCTTTGTTGCCTATGCCCAAACCAATGCTATTCTAGTATGGGGGAGCAAGGAGCTAAGATCTTTCATGTGGTCTTAACCTGTTAAAATTCTAATACTTCCTTGTGGTTTGGTTTGTTAGATGTTGATTGGACACTTTATCTTTTCACTATCTGCCTTTCCATAATTGGGAGCACAGCCATCAGATCCCCTCAATCTTATTGTCTTTATTAAATACAGCCCGGTTCTGCAAGATTTTGATCTTCCTTCATCCCCAATGTCAACCGAGTGACTCTGCACTGAGTATTCAGGTTCTTACAGGCAGCAGAAAAGAATGCTTCTTCCACTTGCTTTGCATTCTTTTGATTTCTTCACCAGCCTGATAATGTGGGACATATAAAGAATGTATTTTTCTTCAGAGGATCCAGTTCAAGATCCTGATCCTCACCTACAAAGCCCTCCATGGCCTCTCGCCACCCTACCTCTGTGACCTCCTAACCCCTACCAACCCGCCGTTCCCTCTGCTCAACCGGCTCCGGCTGCTCCACGTCCCCCGACCCACCCGCCCCACTATTGGCGGGAGAGCCTTCAGCCACTCTGCCCCCAACCTCTGGAATTCCATCGCCCAATCACTCCGCCTCGCCGCCTCCTTAGCCTCCTTCAAGTCCTGCCTCAAGACCCTCCTCTTCGACCATTCCATCGGTCACCTCCCTTCCCCTGCCCTCCCTTCCCCCCACACCCAGCTCGGGTCTGAAATGCTGTACTCTGTCCAGCGCCTTGAGACGTCCTCCCTACATGAAAGGCGCTATACAGATGTAATCTTGTTGTTGTTGTTATTTGAATATCCAACTGGGGGAAATGCCTGAATTGTTAACTAGAAGCCTTGTTGTGATTGGGGCACTTGTGACACTTTTTAAATGACCTCACATTCGGTTTCAGGCAACAGAACCGTTCAGGTATTGCTATTCCTGTAATGATTTAATTATTAATAATAATAAGTTTGCATTTGTTGTAACACCTTTTGCGTCAGAAGGGCATCTCAAAGCTCTTCATAGGATTTACTGTAAAGTGTAGTAACTTGTGTATTTTTTGTAGGTGAATGAGGCAGCCAATTTACGCTCAGCAATGTACAGCAAACAGCCATGAAGTGAATGGCCAGTGCTAACTGGGGGATTGTAGGCCAGAACATCAAGAAAAACTCCCTTCTCTTCGATATGCAAAATTGGCTGCCATGTTTGCAGTGATTGCAAATACAATTACTGCACTTTACCATAAATCCTGTGAAGTGTTTCACGTTCTCCTGACTTGAAAGAGGATATATCAAATGTAAGGTTTATTTATTTTGAATTACTGCCTGTTCTATTGAAGCTCATGGAAACTTTGGTGACAGATAAACTATTTCAATATCTCAATTACAATCAGCAGCTTCAGAGCCCATTAGTCAACCATTGTGATCTTTTGCTTCTCTTCCTGTTCAGTTGAAGTCAGAGAAATGGACCTCGACATCTCCAAGGCCTGTAACAACAACTTCCAGTTAGTTATATAGTTATATAGTGCCCCTCACACGGGGTAATGTCCCAGAGTGCTCAACAGTAGCAGAGCCAAGGGTAGGGAGGAGTTAACTTTCGGCATGGTCAAAGAGGAAGGTCTTCAGGGGTGACCTGAAGATGGGGAAGGAGGGGGCAAGGCGGAGGGATAGAGCAAGAATGTTCCAGAATTTGGGGGCGTAATGGCTGAAAGCACGGCCACCGTTGGTGGAACGGAGAGCACAAGGGACAAGAAGGAGGCAGGAGCCAGTCAAGCGTAGGCAGTGGATTGGGGAGTAAGCAAGTCGGAGAGGCAGGGAGTTGCCAGGGCATGAAGGGATATGTAATAGAATAAGGTAACTTGGTTTTATTAGCAAGCAGATTTTTTGTCGCATATCGTAGGACCTACAACAACAACAGTAAGAACGTGCATTTATATAGCACTACTCACGCAGAGTGACGTCCCAGAGCGCTTGACAGTGGTGGAGCATGACTCTGCCACTGTTATCTATTGGACAGAATGAGTATCTTCTTCAGAGGATGCAACCTCAGGTCATGATAAGTGAATGCACTTCCAAGATCTGTTAAATTCATTTAAAGGCAAATAAAACAAATCAATAATTGTCGAGAATGATTGATAGAAATGGCGCCTAAGCACCTCCACTCTTGTCAGAGTGCAAGATTTCAGTCACAACCGTTCAGCTTCTTGACCTGGTATTGACATCTCATTTCTTAAGCGGCAAAGACAGCTGTAAGAATTGAAAGAAGGATGGAAATTCTCAACAATGCTTACCTCCACCAGCAAACGGCTTATATTTTCCACAGGTTTCACTTTACATTGATGGGTTATTGGATCTTTGTTCACTAACAACAAAGACAGTCCATCTCTTGCTGTGTGGTAATGATTCGGATTTGATTCGGATGGCCTGCCCAGTGACTGCTTCTCTCTCTGGAGTTGCTATCATTGCACCTTATCTGCAGCAGTTCAGATACACAATTAGAAATCGCTTGTTCCACCAAGATTCCTGGAAGATGCATTAAAGTTACAGGATGTTTGTAGCTTTGTGTTGATATTTCAATACAATTACTCCCAGTATATATCCTGTAAAGTGAAATTATCCTCATTAATCTTTGTACCCTGTTATATCACTGAATATTAAAAAGAAATTTGAAGTGCAAATGAAGTGGAAGGTATACTGTTTTTTGGAGGGAGGCAGAGTTGGGTAATGTTGCAAACTTGAAATGTAGTAATCTTCATTGGGAAAACACTTAGAAATTGATTTCCCATTGAAGAGACACTACAAGTAGTGCAGATAGCCGAGTATTCCTGTCGTTATACAGAGGAAACTCACATAGTGTAGAGAGAAGAGTATTCCTGTTGTTATAGGGAGGAGTCCAAGTTGTCAGAACTTTCAAATAACACCCTGCTGGATTGAAGTTATTATTGTTTTATTCAGTGCCAGAAATCGTACTTTACATTCTTGATAGAATCTTTTCTGGCATCTAGTTAGGATGAGGCCGCCTACACTAAATGCTGAGTAGGAGGGATTTGGAATTATTATAATAACAATAATCCTTGTATTTGATATAGCGCCTTATCACATCTTCGAGACATCTCAAAGCGCTTCACAGGATACACTATAAAGTGGATTGACTGTATTTTGTGGGTGAATTGCTGACAACCTGAGTAAAAACTCCAAGTTTCATATCATTTTCTTGTGTTCACAGCTCTGCTTTTGCTGTATGATGTCACCAACAAAACATCATTTGACAACATTCAGGTAAGGACTACCTCTTGGTCTGTATGGATAATTTGCTGAGTAATACCCAGCTTGTTGGCTTGAGGAGTGAACAGCTTCTGGTAAAATATATCACTGTGTCGTTTTATTTAATTATAAATGCTCTGGAGCAGAGTTTATTGAGTAGGAAATCACTGGTTAGGAAAATACCGTTTCTTAGAAGGAAATGTTGAATCTGTTTGTTGCTTAGCACAGTGAGCCAAACAGCAGTCACACTGGGACCTTGCAAAAGCTTGACTTGAGACATGATATTGTGGAAAGTGTATTCACTTACGCTTAGTTTGTTTCAAATATCCCGGTATCAGGTCACCGGTCAAGAAACTGGATAAACAATGCGAGTGACTAACTCCACTTCAACAAATGAGTGTTGCTGAAACACAGACTCCGTCTATTTATTCCTCAGAACATTACCAATGATCAACTTATTAAAATAGCAAAAATAACCATTTAACTGCAAAATTACTATAAAATTATCATCAGGACTGGTCTATTTATCTGCGTCTTATGCAAGAGTGTAACATTGTAATAATGTGAGAGTTGTTTCCAGGTTAATGACTTGGATTTGCAAAGCTTGACTGGAGCGAAGAGTTTGGGGACAAGGTGAAACTTGGCATTAAATTTGTTTTTGAATCAAATATCCCGACCTCAGATTTTTCATAGGTTCAAGTTGTATTTGTTCGTGGACGGTATGAGTATCAATGCAACTGAATCAGTCAGTGATTATAGCATTGGGCTCCATTGTTAATATTTCTTCACAGGATTCCTTAATAATGCTTCTCAAGTTTGAAATGAGGAGGAGTCCTGTAGCTCAATGGTTACAGCACTCGCCTCGGAAGTGAAAGACCTGGGTTCGATTCCTGGCAGGGCAATATCTTGGCCAGGTTTCCTTACTCCACACGCCTGATAATAAACCTTAAAAAAAAAATTGGTCACTTCAATCCACGACTGTTTGTGGGACACAACTGTGTGCTGCGTTTCGCCCACAAACATATAGTCAATTCACTTTACAGTATATTCTGTGAAGCGCTTTGAGATGTCTAGAAGACGTGAACAGCGCTATATCAAAATGCAAGGATTAAACGGGGAATCTAAGCACTATTATGAGGAACGCAAACTCAGATCAGGGCCGAGCTCAATATTCATTAGAATGCACAGCACAGAGACAGGCAGCCTCTGAAAGGTGCTGAGTTTCTTCAAAGCTCTCTCAGTTAAACCCCAAATAAATGAGGTTCGTCCATGGGAGCTGATTCAGACGAAAGGCCACCCAAGATTAGACACCAAAATTCAAACAGACCATCAAAGAGAAGCGACCGTAATAAAGTCATTCTCACATCTGAGCCCAGATACAGCACATTCTTTAATGTAGCGATTGCTGACTGTTCTCTTGGCTGCCTATCATTTTACATCTTTTAACTTCTGCCGTCTCCTTGACAATTTTCAGAAGTCATTTATTCTCCCGACTTGACAGGGATGGATGTAACTGCAGCAAATGCATCTACTCTCTGTGAAGAACTAAAAATGTTTTATTACATATAAAACTAGGTCAAGAGAATTTTTTTTAAAAATAGGAACAGTGTTACGATCAGCGTCTGGTTTGGGTTTAGCAATGTAGCAAAACAACACAGCTATTTGTGGGACCTGCTGTGCACAATTAGCTGCCACGTTTGGCCCACAAAATATACAGTCAATTCACTTTACAGTATTTCTGTGAAGTGCCTCAGGACGTCCTCCAGACATGAAAGGCACTTTACAAACGTCATTTTGTTGTTTTTGTCTCGAAGACATGATAAGGTGCTAGTCAACCCGAGTCCTCTTACTTGCGAGACGAGCTCAATAACAACTGTGCTACGGGACTCTGTGAAGAAATGCTACTCAGCAGCATTTGACCTATACATTTGATATATCTCAACAATGGCACAGTACATATCGGGTCATATCGATATGTACTGGTTTACGTACTGGTTTACTTTGCAGCTACCTGCATGCTTGGACTATAATGGTGCCTGCGATGAATGATGAGAACTGACCCATCACCCCTTGTAGTGCTCAACTGGTGTTGAATGCTGAGGATTTCACCATCACTTTAGGATCTCCCTAGATTAGAAGCGGGAAGAGGTAGGGAGGAAGGGAGAGAAGTAGGTCAGTAGCTGAAGTGATGTGTGACTACACAGGCACCGTTCCCACATATTAAGGACATTGGTTTGTGGTTTGAAATGAATGTGGAGTCATATTGCCATTATTTGAGTAATGGATGTTAGAACATCACCGTACTGGGTGCATGCTAGCTTAAATTCCTCCCCGGGAATTCTTCTCCCTATAGTTTTTTGGGAAACAATAAGAGGTAAGAGCAATAGAAAAGTTACATTACAGCAGGTAACTTGCTGACGGTTTCTAAAACACAACTTAATCTCCTCTTACCTAGTTTGTGCCTCTTGTGCCAACTTAACCTTGTTCAGTGAGCAGAACACATGGTTTTACTGCCCACACCTTATTGTTTTATTCCAGGAGTACTTGGAGCAATATATTGATGTGCAGAAAGGGACTATTTCAATCTGAATTGCTTCATAAATAGAGTGATCTCTAGCCTTGCTCATAACCCTCACTCCACCATTCTCTCTGTGGATACACTAGCCTTCGCACTGGCTCATTGGTAATGCTGTAGCCTGGACAGTAACAGTGGGCCATAGAGATCCAGCATCTCAGGTTCAGTCACTGCTAATGTGCTGGGGTAGCAGATCTCAGCCACAGTCCCAATACAAAGCAGCAAATACGTTTCATTGTTCTGGGCAAGCGCCAGGGTTGGGGGGGGGCTGGGGAATACAAGGCTTCCCACTGCTGATGCCAATCCAAGGTGCACGTACATGAATGAGAACAGGAAAGGCAGCCACCACTCACTGTCTGAGACTAGAGCTAAAGAATGGCCAATTGAGTAAATAACCAAATGAGTCAACACATTTAGGAGAGGAGGCTTAAAATTCCTCTTCTGTTCCAAACTGATTGGCTAGGTGAACCTTTGCCCTATCAAGCATGGGGGCAGATAAGGAATTCAGTAATAAACCTCAAGCTTTGTGCCAGCGAATCACCCCTTCATCCACCTCTCATTTCATTCCCACTCAATTCAACCTTGTGCAGCATGAGCCCTTTCAACTGGGTTCTCTCAAGCTCTCCCTCCCCTCAAAAAATAATTTTTATAAATAGTGACTTAGATACCCTGATGCCAAGAAAGAGATATTTTGTGAAAATGAAACCCTTATTTAGTGCAATAAATAAACACGTGCCCAGGCAAATAATGAACTGCTAACTCTCCCTGTACACTGACAAACCACAGGTTCTACATGATCGAGACTTTATGGAAAAATACCTTCCCTGGTGTATTTAAAAAAAACTTATTTTGTGTCTGTTAAGTTTTCTAAGTTAACAATTAAAGAATTTTGAGAAAGTAGAAAGGAGGCATTACTTTGGTGATGTCCCTCGTATATCTCAGGCTTGGTGTCTTCACCTGTATTCCATTTACCATGTTCTCTCTCCTCCTCTTTTCAACCTCGGTGGCGTCCTTCGCTTTGGTCCTTGGCCCTCCTCCTGGGTCTCTCCTAAATAAAAGCAAAGTTTTTCCAGTATTTTACCATTAAAATATCACTGCACTGCAATACAAGTCTGTGTCCCTAAGCTTCTCGTCTAACCTTTCAAGAGTGAGAATGGCCTTTTAAGCACTTTCTAGCTGCAGGCACTGATCCACAAAGCATGCTACACTGCTTCAGAACTAAACATCAGAGCTGAAATTCTCTGAGTCTCACTAGAATCAAAACTATTGTCCCATTCAGTTGCTTGACATTCAACATTGTTTGAGAGTTTCATCACATTAGACTTCCTCGGGGTCTAGTATATTTTGTGAACAAAACGCGGCTGCCAATTGCGCACAGCAGATTCCCACAAACAGTCATGGATTGAGTGACCACATTATTATTATTATGGACACAAGAGCAAAATGGCCACTGCTTCCAGATGTCACTTCCAGCTTCTGATGTAGACTGGCCTCCTGGCTTCCTGAGCACAGGGCTCGCACTAAACCAGCCGGTCTGCACCAGGAGCCAGAAATGTACCAGACTCCCAGTAACACAGGACACTTACATTATATGCAAACTCGTGCTCTCATGACGCCCATTATAATGATGCCATCCTTTACGTAAACAAATAAATGCAACAGCCGATTTGCACACATCAATGTCCCCCAAACAGCCATGAAGCGAATGATCAGATTTATATCTGGAGGATCGTAAGCCAGGACACCTGGAGAAACTCCTCTCTCTTTTCGAATAGTGCCGTGAGATCTTTACTATCCACCTGAACAGTTAGACGGGACCTCAGTTTAATATCTCATCTGAAGGATGGCACCTCTGACAATGAAGTGTTCTTGCAGCACTGCAATGGAGTCTCAGTCTAGACTTGAGCTCAAAGTCCTGATTTCTTCTGACCCAGAGGCAAGAGTGCCACTGACTGAGCCAAACTGACACTCTAGCTAGATCAGTAAGTGACACAGACAGACAAGGCCTACAATTGATTTACATATACACACCCACTACAGCAAGTCCCTTTGAAATTCTTTAAGATGTTTTTGCACAGCCTTAGTCCTTAACATTTCTGTATTAAAACCAGTTTGACAAACGCTCCGCTATATAACATGTAGTCTGGAACTCTCAATGTCAAGCTTTTCTTTTTAACATTACACGAGAAAGTTGCGATGAACCAGATGAAATAGACGTTCTCATTTATTTCTGTATGTTACATAATGTCCCCTTGAAATTAACCTTGAATTGCTTCATAATAAATGAGCCGTCTGTTAAACAAGAATATATTGTAACACAGTCCCAATCAGGGATTTGTGGAGAAATCTGGCAGTGTCCATCCTTCTTACAGCCTGAAATTCTACCGGGTCTTCACCTATCAGGCCATTTTGTCTAAAATAGTAAATTCATGCAGAATTG